TGCCCCCGCCCGCCCCCCGTCCGCCGCGCAGCTGGGGGAGCGCCCCGCTGGCCGCGGCGACGACCTGACGCGGCTGGCGGGCCCTCTGCCGCGCCAGCCGTTTGAGTTCTGTGCCTCGGCGGCGACCCCTCCTCCCGCCACGCCGCGGCACGTGGGCGCCGCCACCAATGCTGATGCTCCCACCCAGTCCGCGCAGCAGCAGCAGGGGCAGGGGCAAGGGCAGGGGCAGGGGCAGCACCCGCCCCAGCCCGCCACGCCCGCCGCCAGCGCCGGCGTGGGCGCCGCCGCCGCCTCCTCGGCCACCGAGCGGCGGCCCGAGGGGGACGCCGGGCAGAAGAAGAAGAAGAAGGCGGGGCGGGGCGGGCGGCTGTGGCGGCTGATGTATGGCGACCACGACTCCAGCATGCACCAGGACTGGTTCTGATGGGTGCTGGGCTGCCCAGGTGGCGCCACGTCACACTGGCGCCCAGGTGGCGTCGCAGGCCGCATGTGGTCAGCACACTGTTGCCTGGGTGGCTTGGGCAGCGTGTCTGTGCCACCCAGCACTTCGTGACTGGCATTGCGGCGGGCGCATGGCTGGCGTACCGTGCAGCCACAGCGCCGCCTGGGTGTTCTATGACATGCCTGCGCCTGCACTTGAGCTTGTGCCCGTGTCGGGCAGCGATCCCCACTTTTCCCTCTGCCATCTCCCTCTGCCTCTGCTCCCCTTCTTGCATTCACTGCATCCATTCTTCGTTGGATTGTGAATCTGTTCAAAGAGCAGATGGGGAAGGGGAGGAGGCAGGGGCCCCAGCTGGCGCCCCGCTGCTCGCGCTGCCGGGCATCAGCACGTGCAGGCGGTGCGGCCGGGGCCAGTTTCGCCATTTGCACCTCCCCTTGGCCATCCAAGGTGGTCGGTTCGCTCTCTGGCACGCACCACTCCTGCCCAGCGCCTCGGGCCTCCGCAGCAACACTTGACAGACGCGCGGCTTTGGCCCTGACGCGCGGCTTTGCAGGGCGCGGGAGCCAGGGGCCTCCGCCTGCTGTCGCCCCACCTGCTGCCACCGCCACCTTGCCGCCGCTGCCCGGCGCCCACAGGTGCCGCCGCCGCCTTGGGCGCTAGCCCCGCATGCTGAAGAAGCTGCTGCCGCGGCGGTCGGCCAGCCGCTGGCTGGGCTCTGAGACCGAGCTGGAGCTGGAGAAGCACTTTACTGTCACCAAGAAGCTGGGCAAGGGCTCCTTTGCCACCGTGTGAGCTTGCAGTTGCAGCGGGGAGACGGGGAGGTGGAGGGGAGGTGTTTGCCACGCCCACGACGGGACACAGCGTCGGCGCGCCGCCAGATTGCCGCCTCGCGGCGCCGCGCCTGGCTGGCTGCTCGCGGTGCGTCAAAGTCCCCCCGCACGCGCGTCACCCTCCTGTCCCCTGTTTCGACCCATCCTCGCTCTTTCCTCCTTCCTCCAGGTACCAGGCGCGGCGCAGGGCTGACCAGAAGGACTATGCCCTCAAGGTGGCGGATGTGCGGGCGCTGGGGCCGGAGGAGCAGGCAGACGTGGTGAACGAGATCAGGCGAGGCGCCTGCCGCCGCCCGGCCCGCTGCCAGGCAGCCCGCTCGAACGTGGGGCCGGCGGCCTGCCCGCTGGGCCCTCCCCCGCTGCTGGCGCCGCATGGCCGTGGCCCGCCAGTCGGCCCGCCGCGCCCGTGCCAGCGCCGCCGCCGTGTGATGTGCCTTTCCACCTTCCCTGCAGGCTGCTGGCCTCCCTGTCCCACCCCAACCTGACAACCTTCTACGAAGCCTTCTGCGACCACGGCAAGCTGTGCCTGGTGCTGGAGCTGGTGGGGGGCGGCGACCTGGGCTCCCTCATCAAGTGGGTGCTCAGCAGCAGGGGGCGGAAACGACCCGGGAGTGTGGCTGGGTGTGTGTGCTGGCTGTCAGCGCGCCAGCTGGGCCGCACGCACGAGACCTGGCCTGCCCTGCCCTGGTTGGCATGCCTGCCTGCGCCCACCTGCCAACCCCCACCCCCGCACGCTGGCGCCGCAGGAAGCGTGCGGCCACGGGGGTGCACTTCAGCCAGGACCAGGTGATGGCCGCCTTCCTGCAGGTGGCGCTGGGCCTGCAGTACCTGCACCACAGCCACGTGCTGCACAGGTGAGCGTGACATACCATACCATGTGGGGGTGGGGAGGGCAGGCTCCCATCACTGGCAGGGGGCCCGGCAGCCACAGGTGAACATAGAAAAGGTGCCCCGCAGGCCTTGGCGCGGCACGTGCCAGCAGCGCCCGCTAGCCTCCCCCTCTTTCGCCTGCGCATCCACCCGCGCATGCACGCATCGCACCCTGCTGCCCGCCTGCCCGCCCGTGCAGGGACCTGAAGCCCAGCAACCTGCTGCTGACTGAGCGGGGGGTGGTGAAGCTGGCGGATCTGGGCATCAGCCAGCTGCTGGACCGCGTGTTTGCCAGCGCCATGGTGGGCGGGCGAGGCGGCTGGCGGCTGTGTGTGTATGGTTGTGGTGTGTGTGTGTGGTTGTGGTGGCACGTGGGCAGCTTGATGTGCCTGCGGTGGCTGGGAGGGGGTGGGATGTGTGTGCGCGACCTGTGTGCGGGGCGGTATGGGCTTCTGGTGCAGGCCCCCCCGGCAGCTGAGGCTGACTCTGCATGTGCCTGTGTTGACTCAAGCGTGTGCTGCGTGCTGCCGCAGATTGGAACCCCCCACTACATGCCCCCTGAGATGTGGAGGCACCAGCCTTACTCCTACTCCGCAGGTGGGCGGCTGGGGCTGGCTGGCGGAACCCTTGTAAGGGGGGGGTCTCGGCGCAGGGTGCATGTGTGGCTTGCCTGGCTTGTCTTTGACACCCCTTACTGATGAGCCTGCGGCTCATGAATGACTTTGGCACCGCTCTGCTGCCCCCAACCACCACCGCACCCCTCGCCCCTGCCCCGCAGACATGTGGGCGCTGGGCTGCATCCTGCACGAGCTCTGCACCCTGCGCCCGCTGTTCCTGGGCGGCAGCGATGCCGAGGTGAAGCAGAAGGTGGGTGCCCCTCCCTCCCTGCCGAGGCCGCACCCTGAGCCCCCCAAGGGCAGGACAGCCTCCCGCTGCTTGCCTCGCCCCGCCTCGGTCCTGTCTCTGGAGGCTGCCACCATCCTGAGCTGCCAGGCAGCCGCCTGCCAGCGAGCACCTGCCTGTCTGCCCCCGCCAAGACCTCCTTCGCCTCGTCCAGCCCGGCCTGGGATGGCCCCTCCCCCCCTCCCCGCAGGTGCTGGCGGGCGCGGTCCCCCCCATCTCCCCCCGATACTCTGAAGAGCTGCGCGGCCTGGTGGCGGGCATGCTGCGGCACAGCCCCGCCCAGCGCCCCACCATCGACGACATCCTGCAGACGCCGCTGGTGCGCGTGTGTGTCTCTTGTGTGTCCTTGTGTGTGTCTCTCTCTCTCGTGCCCGCGCTCTGTGCGCGCGCTCTGTCCCTGCGGGACTGAGAGCGACCTACTGCTGCCCGCCTCCTGGCCGCTCTGCCTGCCCTGCGCTGCGTTGCCCGCCCGCCTCCCCTTTGCCACTTCGTCTGCCTGCCTCGCCAGGTTTGTGTGCAAGTTTTGTGTACAAGCTGTGTGTGTACTGCCTCCCCTGCCGCAGGCCCAGCTGCATTTGGCCAAACTTCCTGAGGAGCTCCAGGAGCGGTGCATCAGCCCCGCGCTCAGCTGGGAGCGCAGCCAGGCGCGCCTGGTGCAGCCGCTGGCCGTGCCGCGCAGCGCCGAGGGGTGGGAGCGCATGAACCGGCAGCTGGCCAGGGTGCTGCCGCCGCGGTACCTCAGGTGAGGGGCGCCGCTGGGGGTGTACCGGCGTGGTGGGTGTGAAAGCACAGGCTGTTTCAGTGCAGGCTGTGCTGTGCTAGGGGTCACTGTGTGCTGGGGGCCGGCAAGGGGATGGGCAGCCCTGGTGCAATGTGTGCACGCAGTCTGCTGGAACCCTAGGAGACGTGACAGACCATGCCTGTCCCGCCGGCCCTTCCCACTTCTCTCTTCATCGGCAGTGGCCCTGGCGTGGCCAGCGCGCTGGGTGGCAAGCAGAAGAGCTGGAGCACCGGAGACCTGCAAGCGCTGGCCGCCACGGCAGAGGCAGAGGAGGAGGAGGAGGCGGGCGGGGCAGGGAGCGGCGGCGCCGTGCCGCCGCCGCCGCCTGCGGCAGAGGCGGCCGCCGCCATACGCAAGACCCAGAGCTACGGCAGCCTGGCGGCGGCGGTGGAGGCCCAGCTGGAGCGCAGCGGCAGCAGCCTGGCGCGGCGCAAGAGCGTGTCTGTTGGGGAGCTGCTGCAGAGCCCCGAGGGCAGCGTGCGGGGTGGAGGCGTGGCAGGGGGCCTGGGCCCCGCCCTGGGCCTGCACAGCCGCCACCGCTCCTCGCACGGCCATGGCCTGGCCTCGGTGACGGAAGATGCCCCCGGAGAGGCAGCAGCAGGGCCGGCAGCAGGTGTAGGGCCGCCGCAGTTGCCCTCGGCGGCCAGGCCGCCGCTGGGGCCGGCGGCGCCCAGCGGCGGCGCTGGCGGCGCCGTTGAGGAGGAGGCAGCTGCCAGGCAGCTGCGCACCTTCCGCAGCAAGAGCCTGTCTGTGGAGGATGCAATCGACAGCCTGGCGGCGCAGCAGCCGCAGCCGGCGATGCAGCAGGGGCTGCTGCGGGCTGCCAAGGCGCCCGCCAGGCTGCATGCTGCTGCCATGCACCAGCCCATTGCTGCCCCCAGCAGCGTGGGCACCCCGGCTGCCGCCCCTGCGCTGCCTAGCTCATCGGCTGTTGCTCCGAGGGGTGTGCCAAGCAGGGGGGTACCGCTGCCAGCCCAGGCGGCCGGAGCAGCGCCCCTGCCGCCGCCGCCAGCCACCCCGCAGCCCGCGGCGCCGCTGCCCTCTCCAGCAGTGACAGCCCAGGTGCAGCTGCAGAAGCCACCACCCACCGGCGTGCCTGCCAGCAGTGGGAAGGCGGCTAAGCAAAGGCAGCAGCAGACCGAGGCCGCAGCTGCGCCCGCTGTGGATGGGGGCTCAGCTGCTGGCGCCGGGCGGCCGGACAAGAAGCCAGGCGGCGGCAAGAAGGCGCACTTTTGGCAGCACCTGAAGGGCGGGCGCAAGTGAAGCAGCGCCGCTGCCCAGCAAGCCGCCCGCTGGCTGCCATTGTACACTAGGGGACACGCCTTCTTTTGTACGTTGTACCACCACTGAAATGCTTGCTTGCTTGCTTGCTTTCTGTCTGCGATCTGGACAGCCAGTGCACTCAATCCCTAGAAGAGGCCTGCTCCAAGCCTGAGCCTTCGTCAGTGAATGTCACATGTGGGACTGCAAATGAAAACCGTGGCTGTCGCCAGCAGGAGAGGAGAGCAGTTGGGAAACTGGAGCGCAGAAACAGGGCGCCGAGCTGGAAGTTTGGTCAAAGCGGGAATGGAGCTGGGCAGCAGCACGGCGGGCTGTCTGCCTGAGAGCACGGCTGCCACAGCCCCCTGCATTATTGCTGCATGCCCAGCATCTCCCCCAGCTGCTTCAACTTCAGCCTGCCGTCGCTGAGCAGGAACCGCACAGAGTGCTGCTCCTGGGGCCCCCGGTGCGCGTCAAACTGCTGTCGGATCTCGTGCCGCAGCTCCGCTGCAGCAGGGAGCAGAGGGAGAGGCACCCGCGTAAGCAGCAGACCAGCAGCAGCAGCAGCAGCAGTGAGCGACGTCGCATGAGGGGGCGGCCGATGGCAGGTGGCACGGCGGCGGTGGCGGCGGCCAGCCACAGCGGCAGCGCCTGACCTCGAGCAGCCGGATCTCGGGCACCCTTTGTCACGCGCAGCAGCTGCCGGTACAGGTGCAGCACCTCGGTGCGAAGAATGAACGATCTCAACTCGGCCATGCGCCGGCAAAAGCACGCCCAGAGTTGTCTAAATCAATGTATGGATTGGTCACAATATCAAGGAGGCGTCCAGGAGCAACCGTTTGGGCTGAATTTGCTGCGGACGGCTCTCGTGCTGCGTGCTGCGGTTGCGCCTGTGGGGCTTGAACCTGCATGGCTCCATCCGCTTTTGATCAGCGTGGTGCCTGTCGGCCGTCTGGACTGCACCGGGAGCCGATCCAGCAGCTGGCTGAGAAAACGTACACCACAAGTCGCCAGTCCTCGCTTGCAGCCCGCCAACAGGTTGCAGCCCACAAAAAACAGGTGCAAAGCAATGAGCCGAATCGAGCGCTGTGATTGCGTGGTCCGCCCTTCCCCACACCGCCCTGACGGCCTCCCGCCCCACTTCCCGCCGGCACCCACAGTTTCGCGCAGCCACATCCCCGTGCCTGCCAGTCGCCAGGGGCAGGCATCATGGCAGCATGCACAGCCAGCTCGGCGCCATGCACAGCCTCCGCCCGTGATGCACGTCGCAGCGGCAGGCGGCCCCTGACGGCCACCGCCGTACCGCCGGCTGGCGCCGCTGCCCAGCCTGCCGCCTCGCGCGGCGCGCCCCTGCGTCGGCGCCTGCCCCTGCAGCACCAGCAGCAGCGCCGCCGCTGCTCCGCCAGCTCCAGCACCAGCCTGAGCACCGTGTCGGACTACGACGTTCTGCAGCAGCACACGGTGCTGTCTGCTGCCAGCGGCGAGGAGGTGGCGCTGACCTCGCTGTGGCAGGCGCAGCCCGGCACGCGCTGCGTCGTCGCCTGCCTCACGCACTTTGGCGACCTGAGCAGCACCGAGTGTGCGCAGAAGCTGCTGGCGGTGCTGCCAGAGGTGAGGGGTGGCGGCGTGGCGGCGGCAGCGGCAGGGCCGCTTGACTCCCAGCCGGGGCGCACACCTCCCTGCCGCCTGCCGCTCGCCTGGGCGCACACCTCCCCAGGGGCCCCGTGTCTCTCCAAGTGCCAGGCCCCTACGGCCACCACCGCCGCCGCGCCCGCCTCCCTCCCTCCCTGCAGCTGCGTGCCTCGGGCGTTGGGGTGCTGGCGGTGGGGCTGGGGGAGCCGGAGAAGGCTCGCAAGTTTGCCGAGCTGCTGGGCTTCCCACTGGATCTGCTGTATGCAGGTGGGCGAGGACCTGGCTGGCAGAGGGCGGCGTGTGTGTGCTGGTAACTATGTTGGTGGTGGCAGAGAAGGGTTTGTGCCCATGTCCTGCGCCAAGCCTGGCACCCCCGCCTCCTCCCGCCACCAAGCCCGCAGACCCCACCGGCGCCCTCTACTCAGCCCTGGCCTTCAGCCCCGGCTTTGCCCCGGAAACCAGGATCAGCGCCTACGCCAAGCTGCTGGTCATGCTGGCCGGCGTCGGATCCCCGGGGACAATCCAGGAGGTGCTGCGCGGCTACGTCGGCGACCGCTCCGCCAAGCCGGTGTTCACCTCTGGCGGCGGCGGCGGTGGCGGCGGCGGCGGCGGCGGCAACCTGTTTGATGTGCTGGGCAGGGGCTACCAGCGGCCCTTTGAGCTGGCCACGCTGCGGCTGTACAACATGAACCTGGTGCTGTCGCACTGTGAGCTGGCCGCTGCGTGTGTGTGTTGTGTGTTTGAGATGGCAGGCTGCTGGCTGGGCTATGGGCCTGAGACCGGGGGTGGGACTGAGCAGGTGCCTGCCGCGCTGCTGGCTGGCCTGCCTCTTCTCCTGCTGCCTCTGCCTGCTGCTGTTTGACAGCTGCCTCCCCGCCAGCGCCGTCTTGGCTGCCGTGCAGGGAACGAGCTGGCGCCGGCGGATGAGCGGCTGCTGACGCAGCAGGGCGGCTGCCTCGCCTTTGACGGCCGCCAGACGATCTTCCGCCACACAGACACCGGCATCCTCAAGTATGCCGACATTGACGCCCTGGCGGCGGCGGTGCTGCCGGCGGGGGCGCCCACAGAGGCGCCCACCCAGACGCTGCGCACGCTGTTCTGAGGGGCGGCAGACGACGGCCGGGCGCCGCATGGCGCTGGAAGAAAACTTGGTCCCATGCAGGGCCCACCATGCCTGTTTCGATGTGATGCTGGGGAGGAACCCTCGATAGGTTAGCACCTGCAGACCGATGGCCTGCATCCGCTCCGCCCAGTCCGCCATCGGCTGCCTGCCTGCCCTCGGGCCGGTCGGGGGCGGGCTCCAGAGCGCTCGGCCTGATCTGCATGTGTGAGCTCAACTTGGTTAACTGCCAAATTGACGATGTCGGAGCTTGGATCGGGATGATGCAGCTCGGCAATGGCGGTGGCGTATGTGCGGCGGCGGCTGCTGCCGGGGCGACGTGCTGCATGTGGATGTTTTGCATTTCTTTTGCAGCTGCTCATGGTGGGAAATGCATCCGTGCTGCTGATATTCATTGCCTTGAAGGAGGCGCCGCATGTGTGGGCTGCTTTTGGCGCGCTTCGGGACTGAAAAAATAACCCTAAGATGTTGTCGTCTGTTGATCCCTACACCCCAGCCACCCCCCACACCTAAGGTGGTTGTCGGCGATTGAAAACCCTAAGGCTGTTGCACAGGCGACCAGCGGCTTTGAACGAGATTGATTGCATACGACGGCTATGGCGGCAGGTTGGTGGCATTGAGGAGGGCGATGCATCCGCTCTGCCCAGTCCGCCATCGGCTGCCTGCCTGCCCTCGGGCCGGTCGGAAGCGGGCTTCTGAGCCCGCTTCCTCCCTCCTCCCTCGTTCAGGCAGGCAGCCGATGGCTCCCTGGGCCTCGGCGGGGAGGTGCCTGTTGCAACGCCGTGCGTGGCGGCAATCGCCTGCGCAGGCTGCCGCCAGCCTGCACCCTACTGCCGCCCTGTGCTGTTTGTTTTCAGGCATCCGTGCTGCTGATGTTCATTGCCAATATTGCTTTGAAGGAGGCGCGGCATGTGTGGGCTGCTTTTGGCGTGCTTCGGGACTGAAAAAATAACCCTAAGATGTTGTCGTCTGTTGAACCCTACACCCCAGCCACCCCCCACACCTAAGGTGGTTGTCAGCGATTGAAAACCCTAAGGCTGTTGCACAGGCGACCAGCGGCTTTGAATGAGATTGATCGCAGGCTGTTGCACAGGCTGCTGCTGCTGCGGCGGCGGCGAGCCCATGCTCCAGAGAACTGGTGCAGAATTGGCGGCGGGGCTGAAACGGCATATTTCGTGCTGCACGTGGCTTCCGCCGCTCCCCGGGCCACCTGGAGCCCGGCGCGGCGAGATGGCCCGCGCCATCTCGCGATCCGTGGCGGTGCGGCCCGTGCGGCGCTTCAGATGGAAGGCGGGCACGGCGAGAGCGGCGGTCAACGCGAGCCCGACGGCTCCGGCGGCCTGGATCGGGCCCCGGGCGGGCGGGGAGGCGGGGGAGGAAAGTTCATACCCACGTCCTGACTATTGGGTTCCTCACTCACCTGCCCGGCACTTGTTTCGCATCCCCGCACTAAACCCTTGTTGATTTGGCCACCTCCGCGACTTGCAAGCAACCTGGCCGTGATGCAGTCATCGAAACAGCCGTGGATGAACGTGCCGGACACCTACCCTATCGAGGGTCTGGGAGGAGTCAGGGAGATTCCTGGCAAGAGTGCGTGGCCTGCCGCAAACCCCCGCCCGGCCGCAATCCAGTGCCCTTGGGCAGTCACGTGGCCTGCCGCCGCACCGCGTCGCGCTGCTGGACAATCAGGCGTCTGTAGCACGCCTGGGAAGTGTTTTGCGCCAGTGGATCGAGCGGTGCGGCTGCCGCCTGCCTTGCCGCCCTCCGCCCAAGGCGTCGCGCGCACCGCCGCCCGCCCGCCCAGCCGCCCGCCCACCGCGCCTGTGGCTGCCTTTGCTGCAGGCAAGTCCTTCTTCAGCGGCGGCTACGCCTCTGCGGGCGCCGTGGGAGCCGTGCCGTTTGGCACGCCGCCCATGCATCTGCCCATCTCCGGCCGCTGCTTCCTCGACAAGCCTCTGCCCGCAGCCGAGACCGCGCCGGTCGACGTTGGTGCCCCCACCGCAGGTGGGAGCGCAGGCAGATGTGGGTGCAATACAGGGCAATTGCGAGCCGCCTGCAGGCATGCTTTGGAGCCCCAGCGAGCCCCGTATCGCCTGCCGATGCACCTGCAGGCGGCAGCGCAGCAGCTGGGGAGGAGCCCTCGCCCACGAGCCCCACCACCCTGCAGCAGGCCGCCGAGCAGGCCGACGCGGCGGCCAAGCCACGAGGCCTTTCGCCTGCCTGCATGCCTACCCCAGCTGGCCACCTGGCATGATGCCCACGCCACATGAATGAACGTTGCTCGAGGGCCCTTGATGCAGAACACACGCCCCGCAAAAAAAAAAGCCGACCAACAGCTGCTGTCGATACTGCCTGTGATGTACACACTGTAGGGTGCCGCCGTGATCACCCACCCTTTTTCCCTAACTGCCACTCGCCCAGTACTGCCCCTAGCCCGTTGCCCTCCAGACCTGCCCTGTGCGTTCATCACTGTGTTGTAGAGGAGACCCCCTGCCTCGCCCCCTTCCCCTTCCATTGCATTTCGTGTTTAGCCTTGCGCATGCTGCGTTTTTCAATTTTTTTTCCATTTTTGGTAGACACGGCAGCTTGTTGGACCGCTGGCTGCATCCCAATCCCTTGTACACTAAACCCCGCGCCTGCCTCTGGTGTGCCGCACAGCGCCGGCGGAGCCTAGCCTAGGCCACGTACAGCGATGCGGCGAAGATGACGTCTCGCTG